GGTTTGAATGGTCACTTATTATGTCATCATCACCTTCATTATTCTCATTGATCATCCTTCTAAATTTATTCCGATTAAACGAATAGAATTATTGGAGTATAGATCAACATAATTATTTGTCAATCTAACATCACAATTTATTATATCAGTATTAATAACACTATAACTTTCATTATGCATCTCATGATCTACCAAAGAGATGCACAAAGGATATTTTGAGAAGAAATCCAAATTAACCTTTTTCTGATATAGAAAACCTTTACCCCAATATCATTATGAATAGTAATAGGGGGACATATATCGTTAATAACGTATTTTATCTCCACAGAATTTATATTTTCTTCTATATTAAATTGAGTTATTATTGCATTAACTAAACCAATATAGAGAGTAGACGCATCATATATGATGCCATACATCTGAAAATCGACGTATTTTCCTGTTTCACAATATTAAAATAATATTTTAGTAAAATAACATGTATAATTGCTATATAATTCATACACACTTCATACACATTTATTATACGATTCAATTATCTATACACTAATCAGTTCATATAATTCATACACATTTAATTATATCATTCACTGACTTATACAATACTCCAATTTAAACAAAGTTTTGTACTATTAAAAAAAATTTCATATACAAATGATACATGTTTCATACACATTTCATTCACTAAAAAAATAAACTTCAGACTTCATGTACGCTATACAGAACATATTGTTTCTTTCAAAAAAAAATTACAATCTGCATTACAGATAATACAGTTAACAAATTTTTTTTAAAATGTTCTAAATGTAAAAAACAACAAATCTAAATAAAACCAACAATTCATAATTTGAAAAAACAAATCATAACTAAAACTAACCCGAAGTATTTTACTTTCCACCATGTTTAATTAAAATTGACACAAAGTTATCCATCAGAACTGAAATATGCAACTATGAAAATAATCTTCAATTCTTTGGGAAAAAATGAATTATATATTGAAAGAAATTTCAAAATAATAGAGAAATTTTGGAATGAAGAATAATTGTAATGCTAATAATTTATCTAGCTTTAATTTAATTCAATAAAAAGGTAAACTCTTCAAATTCTCAGGCATGCGATATTCAATAAATACACTGTCAAAAGCAACTTAATAAATGTTGTCAGAATTCTTAATCATTAAAACTAATTACTCATTATCACTTTATCTACTTAATTTTTAATAACAACTCTTTTTAATAAATTATAATTAACAATATAATTACTAATAAAATACTATAGAGTGAGATATTAAATGCTATCAAATGAAATTGAAACTCTAATGCCATAACTTGATAATAATACTATATATAATACTATATGTGAAATTTACTCCTTTTATTAATAATTGAAAGTTGAATAAAGTTGAATTAGACATTTATAAGATAGGGATTTTAATTTTTAGTCTTTATGGGAAAATGTTACTGTGAGTCAAGTTTAAGCTGTAAAATGTGTCTATAACACATTTTATTTCTGTTTACTCTATAAGATCTTTGTCTTTTTTTATTATATTTTTTTTGAATAAATTATAACCTAAAACGTTTCAAAGAAACACATTTATACTAATTTTGTAAAAATTCAAAAAAAAAATATTAATCAAGTGAAATGATTTTTATAAAAAACTTATTTTGACCAAAAAAATATATAAAACGTGTCAAAATGCTTTAATTTAATTTTAAACATGTCAAATGAAAAATCTAAATTAAAGATTTTTTTAAAAAATATTAAGAGATATTCCTTTCAAAACGAATTCAAAAAGAAAGACAAAACACATATTAACTAATAGACTGAGTAATAAATAAATGGGAAAATGGTCTGATATACTCCTCAACTTTGTCATTTAGAGCTGATATATCCCTTGTTATGAAAGTGACTCATATATACCCCTACTTGTAAACAAATAGCTCACATATACCCTTTTCCTCTAATGGAAATGAAAAAAATCATACTTTAATCTAAATTTTTATTATTTTTTTCTAAAAAATATAATTCCATATGAGTAAATTTAATCATCGTCAAACATATTTTTTAAACTTTTTTTTGTTTCAATGACTAATTTATAATTATTATTTTGATAATAAAATTTATTTATGTTTCACTAATATTCTTGTAAAACTTATTGTAGATGACCAAATTTTTTCTTCGAATACGAAATTAAATTACAATATACACAAAAAATAGTTTAAATTTTTTTTCTTTAAACTAAGGAATGAAAGAAAAAACAAAATAGGAATAAGAAACTCAAATAATTATAATAAAAGAAGTCAAAAAATAATTGATGGATGAAGAAAATTAAAATATACCTTGAACTTTGATAGAAGAATCATATATACCCCTAAATAATTTTTAAAAAAAATTAGAAGTAATAAATATAAATTTAAAACTAATTTTTTAACTTCCGTTAAATGAAGGGTATATGTGAGCTAGGGGTATAACAATAAGGGCATATATGAGCCACTTTTATAACGAGGGTTATATCAGCTCCAGATGACAAAGTTGAGGGATATATCAAACCCTTTTCCCTAAATAAATTATAGTTTCAGCAGTTAGAGAATGTTCTTATTAGCCATTTTAGTTCGAATTTGAAGTCTCATAAATTTATTTATTAGCCAAATTAGTTTGAATTTGAAGTCTAGTTTTTGTTTGTAGTTTTCATGGCTACGTGAAATCTCATGAATTTATCTATAGAGATTAATCAATAATTAATCAATGACATAAAGTTAATTATATAGATCAATCAACAATTAATCCACTCATGAATTTGGTTATAGAGATCAATCAACAATTAATCAACTATATCACTCCAACCTCTTTTTCTTTGTTCATATATTTTATGGCTCTTTTTTCATATACTTGTAAAAAGCATAATATATAAATATGCTTTTTAATTTGAATTTAACACGCACTTATGCTCTTCAATTTTTACTGTGCACAAGTAGACATAAAATTAAGCAAATAGACATACATGACCTACATGACATCCTACATGACCATTTGGTTCTTACATGATATTCTACATGTGTTATGCTACATCGTCCTCATGTGTCTACTTATTCATTTTTTTATACAAATTTAAATGCTTACTCGTGTACACCATAAATTAAAAAATATAAATGTGAAATGAGATTAATAAGAAAAAAAAACTATCAACAATAAAACTCCAAATACTTTTCTCTTATCATAAATTTTAGATTCTTTATATTTTCAAAACGGAAAAGGGCCTAAAATACCCTCAAAGTATTGGAAATGGTTGAAAATTACCCTACATCCACATATTGGCTTTAAAATACCCTTCCAACCCACCTATTGGGTCCAAAATACCCTTGTCATCCACCTTTTGGTTCAAAATTGACCACTTATTTAACGGTTTATATTTAAACTATTTAAATATTTTTTAAAATACGTGATGTTCAACTATATGTTATAATTTAACTTATTAGTATAATTTATAAATCAATCCACTATCCACCCCATTAATAATTAAATCCCTCTAAATTAATGAACCTATTACATTATTAATGCAAGCTACTGCCAATTGAGTGTTTTTAAAAATTATAGAAATAAATTGTCATACATTCAAGTGGCTAAATAAAAATCACCAATAAACTTAAAAGTCCGAGTATGTTTATTTTAATTATTCTTACGTCTCAATTATGTGATGTTACTTCGTAGGTAACTTTTTTCAAAATAATATATTAAAATTTTAAAACAAATCATAAATATTTATAAAATTATATTTAAAAGAAGTGCATGAATCAATTCGGGATGTATTACTTCTTTACCTTTAATCATAAATTTCTAATTCTATTTTGAAAGAAAGTGTCCTCCTAAATAAGCGGCTCAACCTAAATTTCATTGGGGCTCCGATTCGCACTCGAATAATTTTGAATGTCATTTTCAGAAATCTATAATTTCATTGTGTTTTAGTAGTATTTATGACGATTTTGATATTATAATTGGATTATTAATTGAGTGAGGTTTAGTTAGTAATGAGTGTGTAGCGGGTTGGTTTATAAATTATATTAATAAATTATAATTATAATTAATAATTGAACGCTAAGTATTTTATAAAATGTTTAAAGAGTTTAATTTTAAAACAATTAAAAAAGTGGTCAATTTTGAACACAAAGGTGGATGACAAGGTATTTTGGAGCCAATACGTGGATGAAAAGGACATTTTGGAGCCAATAGGTAGATGAAGGGTAATTTTGTAGGCCCTTGTCTGTTTTCAAAATTATAAAAATGATTACATAATATTTTAAAAAAAATATACAAAAATAATTTTGTCTATTGGTATATCTTTTAATGAAACACAAAAGGTATACTCAATATTTTTGAAGGACCTTTATCATTTTAATATAGTAAATATAGATAGATTTGTTGGACAAATATTTAGGGTCATTATTACTTCTTTAAAAAATAGTAAGAATTTATTTAATTGAATTTCACGTCATATTTCTGTGAAAGAACAATTTTAAATCTAAAGAAAAAACATTAAGGGCCTTCGATTCAATAGGTGAAAAGATAATATTTTTGAAATATTACAACAATTTGTAACCTTTGTCATAAATAAATAAATAAATAAATAAATAAAAATAAGTCATAATTCATTACAAAAATCTTTTGTTTCGTATGAATCACATTTCACACCCAAATACTACTTTCTATAATTTCAAATTAAATTAATTAGAACTTTATTGAATCTATTTAAGACAAACATAATAAAAGAAAATAAATCTATGTTTTGGAAATTGATAAAACTTTTGGTTGAAAAGAAATATAGGGAAATTGTTTGTCATGTGTGTCCAAATTAAAAAAAGCACCTACCACCACCTTTAACTTCTCTATAATCGCTCCTCGATCGACGAGCGTATATATAAATAAATACATATAAAAAAAATTCATTTTTTCTTCCTCATTTCTTCACCTCTTCGATTCATCACTCTTCTATTGATTTGTTTACAATGGCGGCATCTGCTTCTTCTGCTATCAATCTCTCCATCAAACCCTCACATACCTCTCTCTCATGGAAAACTCATCTCTCTTCTACCTCCGCCTTAGCCGTTTCTCCTCTCTCCGGCCACCGTCATTATCCGCGTTTCGTTATCTACGCTGTGGGAGATAAACCGACGGTTCTCGTAGCTGAAAAACTCGGTGAGGCAGGGGTCAATCTCCTTAAGGAATTTGCTGATGTTGATTGTTCTTATAACCTGACTCCTGAGGAGCTCTGTAATAAGATCTCATTGTGTGATGCGTTGATTGTGAGGAGTGGTACGAAGGTGAGCAGAGAGGTATTTGAGTCATCTGGTGGACGGCTTAAAGTTGTTGGACGTGCTGGTGTTGGTATTGATAATGTCGATCTTGCAGCCGCGACTGAGCATGGATGTCTTGTTGTAAATGCCCCGACTGCTAATACTGTTGCTGCTGCTGAGCATGGAATCTCGTTACTCACAGCTATGGCTCGAAATGTTGCTCAGGCGGATGCTTCCGTGAAAGCTGGTTAGCCTAATTTGGTTTTATATCTATATAAATGACGGTGTATGTTGATTTTTCCTGAATATAATTTGTTATATTGAGTATGAAATTCATGTATTTTGAATATGAAATTGTATACACGAGATTCTGATTAGAAAATTATTGCTATGCAGCTATGGTCTTGTAGAGTAGATCGGATCTATGTTAAAATTGATCCAAACGATTTGGTTCCTATATTAATGAGGATATCCACTGATCTGTTTGTGATAGTATTAGTGTTAGTGGAACTAGTACAGGCTTGCAACTTAACCTCGCTTGGGTAGCGCTTCATTTGTAGGCACTAAAATGCTAGAGCATTTCAATGTGCATGAACTCTCATCTTAAAGAAGGCAACAGTAAATAGCTAGCAAAAATTATTGCAAGTGATGTATCAAATGAAGGAAATGATTTGAATAGCTTTTGTTATTGTCAGAAATAAGAAATAGGAGATTTCAGATGAGAAAACTAGTCATTAAACCTTTATTAGATTTTCAGCTACGTCTTTGATGCGAGTAAAGATTCAGAATGATTTTGCACTTATTAAATGATTTTGTGTTCAAATATTTGTAGTTATTTTGGTTCTTACCATATAATACTTTTTTTTGCTTGTAGCTGTTCTTGTGAATTGTTGTATATTTTTTATTTTTTTTTGCTAAATTTTATTTAATCTGTCTTTACTTGTGTTTTAATTTACACTGTTCTAGGCTTTTCATCTTTGACAACACTGTGTATTTACCTGTTGCAGTTAATTTGTATTAATACTGCCTTCTTAATCTCGTTAACTTTTTTATTGGGAGACTGAAATGTTTAGTAAGTGTGCTAAATGATGAAGTTTATGTGGACATCTCACATTGCTACTGATAATGTATCTTAAAGAAACAGGAAGGTCTAAGATATCAGCAGCAACCTCTTTTTGGTCTCATTGTTGTTGTATAACATCTATGCTGATTTTTTTCTTCCACTATCCATTTTCCTTTCTTGATGTATATCATATTTGGATTACAAAGGAGAACAAACCCTCAAGTTAGACTTTCTGGGTGGCTGCCTAGGGAATGACCATGCCACCAGTTCTATCTTTATCATGCTACCCTATTCATATGTTTATTGACGTAGGTTGATAAAATTGATTGCAATTATAACTTTTTATGGTTGCTAATATTTCCTCAATTATCCTAGTTGCTTTTGCATAACCTTTGAAACTTTACCATGATTCTGTTTCCAGGGAAATGGCTGAGAAACAAATATGTTGGTGTCTCATTAGTTGGCAAAACACTTGCTGTGATGGGTTTTGGAAAGGTTGGATCAGAAGTCGCCAGGCGAGCTAAGGGGCTTGGCATGCATGTTATTGCTCATGATCCATATGCCCCTGCTGATCGTGCACGTGCCATTGGGGTGGAGCTCGTTAGCTTTGATAAAGCCATTGCTTCTGCAGATTTTATCTCACTTCACATGCCCCTTACTCCTGCAACTAACAAGGTCCTAAATGATGAAACTTTTGCAAAGATGAAAAAGGGAGTACGAATTGTAAACGTTGCTCGTGGGGGAGTGATTGATGAAGATGCTTTGGTCAGGGCACTTGATGCAGGAATTGTGGCACAGGTCCTGGATATACATGATGCACTTATTTTTCGAACTACTTCTTTCTGTGTCTATTTGCTGATATTCATGTCTGTCTGACAGTTGGGAGGCTAAAATCAATATTTACATTCTTTTCCATCCTGGATTAAAATATAAAATAAGCTTTCTTCCATAACTTATCTGTATTGATGTAAAAATAGATTTGCAGGCGGCACTTGATGTTTTCACCGTGGAGCCACCAAAGGACAGTAAGTTGGTTCAACATGAGAATGTGACTGCAACTCCTCATCTTGGTGCTAGTACTATGGAAGCTCAGGTCTGTGCTTGATTTCCACTTCTGTTTCACACTTTTCGTACCAGATAATATATGTCTTAGTACTGTCTGAACTTCTTCTTCAGGAAGGAGTGGCCATTGAGATAGCAGAAGCTGTTGTTGGAGCTTTGAATGGAGAGCTTGCAGCTACTGCTGTCAATGCTCCAATGGTGCCTGCTGAGGTAAACCCGCTGAATATTTGCTGGCTATAATCCCTTTTTTATGTTTGTTCAAATAAGGAAGCTCAATACAGTGCCTTAAACTATATTAGCCTGCCCAACTAGTTAATTGTTGCCTGTTTTAAGTTAACCAGTTATCTGTAATTGTAGAAGTGTGTCTCCTCTCGAAGTGGAGATAAATGCATTGTTCTTTTCATTTGTTCTTTGAGTAAGGGGGCTTGGAAGATTTTTTGGAGTTGTGCTTGAAGAAAATATCATTTCTACCTCTCCATAATGCAGGTTCTCTCTGAGCTGAAGCCTTTTGTTGCACTGGCTGAAAAACTTGGTAGACTTGCTGTCCAACTAGTGGCAGGTGGAAGTGGTGTGAAATCAGTGAAAGTAACTTATGGTTCAGCTAGAGGACCTGATGATCTTGACACGAGATTGCTTCGGGCGATGATAACCAAGGGATTGATTGAGCCTATTTCCAGTTCTTTTGTGAACTTGGTAAATGCAGATTTCACAGCTAAACAGAGGGGACTGAGAATAGCTGAACAAAGATCTCTTCTAAATGGTTCTCCAGAAAGTCCACTCGAATTCATTCAGGTTCAGATTTCCAGTGTGGAGTCCAAGTTTGCCAGTGCTCTTTCCGACTCTGGAGAGATTAGAGTGGAGGGGAGAGTTAAAGATGGAATCCCTCATTTGACAAAAGTTGGATCTTTTGAAGTGGATGTGAGCTTAGAGGGCAGCATCATTCTGTGCAGACAGGTTGATCAGCCCGGAATGATTGGAAAGGTGGGTAGCATCTTGTCTGAGGGGAATGTGAACGTAAGCTTCATGAGCGTTGGAAGGGTTGCTCCAAGGAAGCATGCTGTTATGGCTATTGGGGTGGATGACCAACCAAGCAATGAGATATTGAAGAGGATTGGTGAAATTCCTGCTGTTGAGGAGTTTGTTTACCTAAAGATATAGGCACTATCAGATTTTCTGTCTGAATGCTCTCTATGAAGTCAATTTTGGTATTGTTGTGTTTTGTCTACAAGTAGGATAATGTAGGAGAGAAAAATAACTTGGATGTGAAATTACAAACTGTACTACATTGAGTTGTCAATTTGACAGTTTTTTTTCTTTTTTTTGCTTCACGGGGTTTGAGCATTGGATTTTTCCTCGGTCAAATTTGTATTTGGTGATTTGTTTTATCAGTTACTAGATGCCACATTTGTTGTAGGGAAATTTGATGTGACCATAGAGTTTGAAATCCAACAGAAAATACTTCAAATATTCATGTCAAAGACAATTTCCTAAGGATACTTTATATGGTATAGGTGTGTATCTTTTAGGATTTAGCAAGCTCTTCTGGTATACAAATTGGAAGGAAAGAATCTAACAAAAATTAAATTAAAGAAGAAAATCCAATGCAAATATATATCAGAGAAAGAATTTGTTTTCCAGCTTTTCTAAGTAAAATAAATATAGATGATGAAATGGACATTTGATTGTATGCTACCTAACGTTCAAATATGAAGATACTGAAGCGGGAGTTAAAAAGGGTAATTAAAATTGACAATAATTTCAAAAGGCAATAAAATTCATTTTAGAACCAAGAGAGCAACTTTCAATGGTTGAACTAACGTCGTTGAAATTAGGTTCACAACCGCAAGGTGCAATCACTATGTAAGACCGTCAAAGCTTCGTAAGGCGCATGAAATTTCACACCTTGTGGCTGTCAACCTAATTTCAACACATTAATTCGACCATTAAAAATTCTCCAACTTAATTTTAAAATGAATTTATTTTCCTTTTGAAATTTTTGACAATTTTTTTTCCTTTTAGCTCCCTACTAACAAAAATATTTAATTCTATTAACAAACTATTAAGGATTTTTAATAGTCAGTTATTATTTGTCAACTATAATGATGTGAAACCATCAATATATTCTCGTAATGAAGGTTATTAAGGCTAATTAAAGGCCACATCAATTATGTATTACAATGTGAACGAGAAGAAGTATTATTATTTGTTATAAATTCTTTGAATATAGACGTCTATTTAGTAATTTTTCTTGTCAATTTAAGTATTAATATTTTTAGGCTATTATGCACCAAATAAATAAAGTCATCAATTCTTATACTTCAGAAAAAGAAGTTCTGTATATTATAAATAGACGATCAAAGAAAGTTATAAGAATTACATTTTCTCTCATATCTTTTGTCTTTCATTGAACCTTGGTTAATAATTATATATTCCTCTCTTATATTATAGAGTTATATAATATATATAATTAATTAGCACTGGAGCAATGCATTACTTAATTTATGTGTTTTGGTGTGCACATTAATTAATTATATATAATACGAGTCAATTCCCTAAATAGTCACCCAAGTTAAGATAATTGTCTTGAATATCATTTATTTTTATTTAGGATCAAAATATCATTCAACTATCACTATTTTCCATCAAATATACTTGACACTTTAAAATCATCACTCTATCCTAGTTTGCATGACATGTCATAAAAGTCTTTTTTCTAATAATAGACTAATTTAATTCATTAAACCTATTTAACTAAAATAATGATCATATTATTTACTTTATTTTTAATCTATTAAGAATAAATTTTCATACTTAAAATCTTTTATCAAAATTAAACTTTTTGTTTTTATGTTATTTAAGAATACATTTTTAAAATGTACTATAATTTTATTAACTTTGAATACTTATAAACACATATATTCAAAAAAATATTTATATACAATTCACTCATTAACGCTAATTTACATCAATTAATCATAAATTGTATAATAAATCAATAATATAAAAGGTCAATGAACTATTACAATAATATTAATTGTATATTTTGCAATTCATGCTTTCGATATTTTTTTTTGAAAAAAAGAAGAAGAAGAAAGTGAATAATATTATAATTTTTATCCGTGAGAAATACTAAATATCTCAAAAGTCTCCTTAAATTCTAGTTGATATGCCCTGTCATTAGATAATCATTTTAAAAAATAATAGACCTATTTATTCATCAAACTTATGTCTCGACAAAATAAATATATGAATTACATGAGAATAAGTCTAGTAATTTTATATATTGTCACCAAACTAAATTCTATGAAAAAATCTCTGTGTGCAATTATTACCTGATAATTTTAAAATTCCTAACTAAATTATTTCAAATTTTAATTTTTTTTAATAAAAGTATTTAGATAAATTTGTAAGGTTGACAAAAAAATGGTAAAAAAAAGAAAATTATTATTTAACTTTTTTTAATTTCATTTTTATTTTTATTCTTTTATTCTTTATTATATTATATTATATTATTACTTTTCATACAATTAAACATCAATAAATAAACTAATAATTAATTGAATCTACTAATTTAATTCGATAATATACATATTATATGAGATTAATATACTGATAAATAAAGATCAAAATTTATTTTCTAGAAATATTATTCACTTACTATTTTCTTTTAAAAAAAGATATTATAAGTATGTATTGATTTCCAAGTACCCAAACAATTATTTTTTATAATTAATTGATCCTTAATATTATTAATTTATTATACAATTTATGATTAATTGAAGTAAATTAGCGTTCATGAGTGATTTGTATATCAATATTTTTTGAATGTATGTGTTTGTTAGTATTTAAAATTGATGAGACTATAGTACGTTTTAAAAATGCATTCTGCATAACATAAAAACTTAAAAGTTTAATTATGATAAAAGATTTTAAGTATGAAAATTTATTCTTGATAAATTAATTAAAAAAATTAAAAATAATATAATCATTATTTTAGTTAAATGAGTTTAATGAATTAAATTAGTCTATATTAAAAATAAGACTTTAGTGACATGTCATGCCAACTAAGAGAGAGTAATGCTTTTCAATTGTCAAGTACATTTGGAGGAAAAAGTGATAGTTGGGTGATATTTGATCCTAAATAAAACATAAATGATATTTTAAGACAATTCCCTTAACTTGGGTGACCATTTGGGAAATTAACTCATATAATACTTTATGAAGTGTTTCAAACCCTTTAAAAAATAAATTAATTAAGACATAAATTATATATATTTTTTCATTTTTTTCCTTATTAATTATTGTCAAATTTATTAAAGTCATCACATTGAAAAATAAAAAAAGACTTCGAAATTCAATTAATATGAAATAGAGCGAGTACTTATTTAACAGGTGTATGAATACGGCTATCATCAAACGTGAGTTCACCTCTAAGTACAACTCCGATCGATATTCTTCACTCTTTACATGTTTTTACTTAATCTCATTTATAATATTCAAATCAGAGTTTTTGATTAAAATCACTTCTCAAGTATAACTCAAACTTAGAGTACATCCGTATAGTATGATTATGAACAAAAAAACATCCTTCTACTATTTCAAAACTGACATAATGCATCTTTTCTGTTAACTAACAGTTAGAAACTGATAGAAATAAAACATGTCCAATTGCCACTATTGAATTCTTCCTTTAAGTTTCTAATGTGTCGCCATGACCACACTCAATATTGTTATAGCATATGGTTTGATATCTCTTATGTTTCAAATAAAACAGATAAATAACATGAGTATGTTATGTTAAACCAATAAATATTTTAAACTCAATTTAATTTAAAATATGTTGTCATGGTGTTTGGAGACAAATAGCATACCCATGTTAAACTCAATATGGTGTTTCGAGGTTTTGAGTTTTATCAAATAGACGAGGAAATGGATTAAAATAACTCATTTATAGAGATATTAAATAGTTTGGTGTGATGATATGATACTTTGAAAGTTAAAATGTCTTTATGCAAATTAGAGAAAACTTTAATGGTGCGTTTATAATTAAACTCAAAAGTATCTTATATTGCACCAATATGGTGTTTGGAGAACTTCTATTTTCTTCATTATTTATTTTGCTTGCTTCGTGTTAGGAGGACACTGGTTCCCTATGATTAGGTACATTTTTTTTTCTTCTAGAAAATGCCAACATGCATATAAACTAGCACAGCTTTTTATGTATATATATATATATATATATATATATATATATATATATATATATATTAAGAGGATTTAAATGTTTATATGCATACAAGAAAATTTGGTTAGAACATAAGAGAGGTTTTTTGAGAGAGCTTTCAACAAGAGAAAAGAGAGAAGAAAAAAGATTCTTTTGCTGCAGTGTTTTTCTTCGACCAGCAACGTTTAGATCGTTATTCCCGATTAACTAACCGTTGGATCAGGTTGAAATTTGGACTATGTGTTCCTGACATTGTGGTTGATTTGAACGATGGAGATCGGGTTCGGGGTCAGCAAAATGTTGTTTTAGGTTCCGAACAGAAGCTGAGTTTGGGTGGTGTTTCTTTTTATTTATCTTTTGTTGGTGTAGCTATTGTTTGTTCTCTTTTGGCACTTGTTGTGTAGACATTAGAGGAATATTTGTAATCCTCTTATTGGTATAGTGAAGCAATTCAGATCTTGTTGACCCTGTGATGGTTACCTTCGGTTTGAAGGGTTTTTCCACGTTAAACTTGTTGTTCTTTATTGTTAGATTTTCGGTTTTATCTTTTCGTCACGACACTTTCTTATATGTGGATCCCCCACAGCTGAAAAGCTTGACATTATTCCAGGTTCTGTCACGAGACAAAGGCCATCCTCGATCCAATCTAATGCCAATCTAGTTTGCAAAACATCAGAGCTTAGCTGGAAATTCAAGATTGTAAGGTTAATAGTCTAGGCTCTGTTTGATAGTTAATGTGACTAGGTTAGTGTGAAGACAACAAATCGTGCTCAGGTTGTGGCTTGATGAGATCAAAGAGGTAACAAGACCTTTTACGATTGGCAGACCAGCTCGTTAGAAATTTAGCACGAGCGATTGCCGCTTTTAGTAATTTGTTCTTCCAAGTACAATCAGTTCCTCGATATAGGAATCATTGGTGTGGACAATCTAGACTCGAATTCTCCTTTTCCATAGCAATTATGTATTCAAATCTGAGATAACTTCTTTTGATTATCGTCTACTCTTGAAGAAGGGTCATACCTTTTTTCTGGAAGACCAGCTTCATTTCTAGCCAAATGATTGAATGGTCCTTTTACCTCCACGTTATATTCCTCTAGTAAATCTCTGAAAGTATTGCAAATTGTGCGTCCCATTTTCTCACAAACTGAAACGAACCAGAAGACGCCTACAACCACATG